ATACAAGCTACTCAGCCAAGGAGACGCCACATAATAGCTTCTGAGCCTAGGAGACACCACATTATAGCTTCTGAGCCTAGGAGACACTACATAATAGCTTCTGAGCCTAGGACACACACAATAATAGCTTCTGAGCCTAGGAGACACCACATAATAGCTACTCAGCCAAGGAGACACCACATAATAGCTTTTAAGCCAAGGAGACACCACATTTGAGCTTCTCAGCCAAGGAGACACCAAATAATAGCTTCTCAGCCTAAGAGAAACTACATAATATCTTCTCAGCTTAGGAGACACCACATAATATCTTCTCAGCCTAGGAGACACCACATAATAGCTTACTTAGCCTAGGAGACACCACATTATAGCTTCTTACCCTAGGAGACACAACATAATAGCTTCTCAGCCTAGGAGTCACCACATAATAGCTTCTCAGCCTAGGAGACACCACATAATATCTTCTCAGCCTAGGAGACACCACATAATATCTTCTGAGCCTAGAAGACGCCACATAATAGCTTCTGAGCCTAGGAGACACCACATAATAGCTTCTGAGCCTAGAAGACACCACATAATAGCTACTCAGCCTAGGAGACACCACATAATAGCTTCTCAGCCTAGGAGACACCACAGTTTAGCTTCTGAGCCTAGGAAACACTACATAATAGCTTCTCAGCCTAGGAGACACCACATAATAGCTTCTGAGCCAAAGAGACACCACATAATAGCTTCTGAGCCAAGGAGACACCACATAATAGCTTCTGAGCCTAGGAGACACCACATAATAGCTTCTCAGCCTAGGAGACACCACGTTATAGCTTCTCAGCCTAGGAGACACCACAGTTAGGCTTCTCAGCCTAGGAGACACCACATAATATCTTCTCAGCCTAGGAGTCACCACATAATAGCTTCTCAGCCTAGGAGACACCACATAATAGCTTCTTAGCCTAGGAGATACCACATTATAGCTACTTAGCCTAGGAGACACCACATAATAGCTTCTCAGCCTAGGAGACACCACATTATAGCTACTTAGCCTAGGAGACACTACAAAACTGATGATCTTAGTCTTATTTATACATCTCCTACAAAATATAGCCAGTCTCAGCCTTGGAAAACTACAGAATAGCCTGTCAGCCTAAGGAGTCACTAAATAAAAGCTCATTTTAGCCAGTTAAACAACAAATTATAGCCATTCTCAGTCTATGTGAGACTAACAATATGGCCATTTCAGCCAAGGAGACACTAGTCCGCTTAAGAGACACTACAAAATAGCCCATCTCATACTAACACAAATTGAAGTTCCTTTTACACATGCTGGAACTGTAAAGAATTCATGATTCTTAGGACTTGCTTTCTCTGTACTTTGAGATAGATGTCTCCATTAATTACTACAGATGATTTTGTAAACCTTCTAATGGGATAAAAACTGAAATATATTTAGATACTATTTATAAATCTTGAATATTATACAAATGCAGTTTTTTAAGTGTTGCCATAAGCACTTATGCTTAAATACATTTCGTAGTTATTTTTTTATGAGAACTTTTTTGTTCGGGAACTTTCTTATTTTTAACAAATGTGTGTCGAGAAATAAAACGGAGAATTCCTGGATACAAAGTCAGAGCTGTTTCTCCCCTAGTGGTTCCAAACATTCCGTGATCGTTGGCAGAGGGAAGCACAACATGAGAATCCATCACCGGGGCCTGATGAAAATGCACGGAGAAAACACTCAAAACAATTTTGCAAGTAAATCTGTGTATTTCTTGTATAGCAGATAAACCCTGGCGTGTATACTTGGCTCCTCGCAAGTACAACATGTGGTACTTATTTTGGACAGGCAAGACTTCGACTACTGGGGCAGGTTTAATTCTGGGTGATATAAAAACCAGGGCCCTCTCCCTCCAGGGTTTTTACAATGCAATGGGGATCTCCTTTTGTACTCAGCAAGCAAATTTGAGATAAGACTGATGTTGTTTTTAATACATTGTACTAACATTCCGAAACAGGGACATATTTTCATTTTCAAGCAGGAAATTTTGATAAAAAAAATTGATAAGAAGTTTTTTTTATATTGATTTTTCTTTATTTTTCATTAGGGGGAAAAATTAAGTAGTTTCATTATAAACTCCATTGTACTTATCGAAGTATCTGGTTGCTTTTTCAGTATGTTCAGGAAGGGCCTAAGTGAGGAAAATAATCACGTATAAACATATACTAGTAAGCTTTTATCAGGAAATTGAAATTCCAATACACCAGAAAATAAAGTTAAAGATTTCAATCTCATCTGCATTTAATAAAAACACCAGGAAATGGATGTTTTATTTTTTTCACTGCAGAAATTTTACACAAATCTGATAAGTTATTTTCTATAGTTACACCTCAAGTGAATTTCTAGCTATTTGATTAGTTGGGAGAAAATTAAACAGAAATCTGTCACCCTCCGAAAATACATTGGTTTTCAGGGGCGTGGGTGATATTGTCATGAGGCAGAGAAAAATATCACATGCGTTCACCGCTTCGTTTCCCCACCGTGATGGTCACAAGAATGTTTGAGGGCAACAGTCAATTTTATCAAGCGCCGTGGGATAGCGATTGTAAACAGCAGACTATCAACAAACAAGATGTCATTATCGAGGTTTGCTGCCGTTTCTGAGCTACAAAGACTTTTGGTGTAACAAAATAGATATGACATTCATTAGCAGGTGACAGTGCATATTGTCAAACCTCAAAAAACCATTTTCACCCTCGGCTTCACCTTGGGAGACAATGGTTTTCTCGGGTTGAAAATATTCACTGTCACCTGCTAATGAATGTCATATTTATATAGTGTCGACTGCCTTGCTACAATTCATACTTAAAACATTTAGCATCAGACATTATTATGATTACATCATAAATTATATGAACACTTTTTATTATCAACTGCGGACAGGAAGTGATGACAGAAACGAGGCATTAATGAAATTGAAACCGAATGAAATACAGGTAAATTACAAATGAAATAGATTCTGTATGTTAATTTATTCTAAATTGTCACTTTCTCCACAGTGCAACAGGCTAACCATCTGATGAGGAAGCCAGTCCATTATTATCGGTGATTACAAACAGGAGGTTGACACAGGTACATAATCTAATTGCTTATACAGTAGATTTCTCTTAATATCACTTCCCATTTGTCAGAGAAAAACATGATATTAACAGAAACATGACATAAACAGAATACATATTTTCTGACGTTTTTCAGCACTCAAAACCGGAAGTGAACTTATAATTTATTAGTCAAATGCCTAAGTGATGTGGCCCTACGAAGAATGATATTTTGTAACTAACCTTGTTCTTTACCCTAGCTGAAATATAGATATAAGTAAATAAGTATAGAAATAAATATATTATTTGTATTTCATTTCAGTATGCAGTTACATTTCATATAGTTAGTAGCAAAATGACGATTGTTTACTGCAGTAGTGATGTAGGCATACAAGTGTTTGGCTGGTATTCTGCATCAAATTCAATTATAAACATGAGTCTTGGTAAATATTTACCTATATCTTGATATATATATACTGTTCTTTTGCTAATAACATCTTTTTATAGGTTAATTTCCTTAGATATTTGCTGCAAGTGTGTAATCGAAGATAGTACACATGTTATAATTAGTTGAAAGAATACATCACACTTGGCATTAGAAAAGTTTACAGATGTTAGACTGTCCTAGCTCCCCCTACCACAGGTGAATATCATGTTAACAAGCATGTAAGTCAACCTATTGTTTGACAGTCAGCCAGGTGTAAAAAATACCCTGTTAGGCCGAGGCATTGTTTACATAATGCGTCCAGGGTGTGACAGAAGGTCCCCGGGGCATTTATCATGAATCATTACCACCAGTTACCTGTATTTTTTTGATGACAGTGGCCAAAATAAAGTGATATTAAGAGAAATCGACATAAAATCAGGTGATAATAAAAGAATTGAATTGCATAGATTATATAGCAGGAAAAACGGTGCATCAAAAAAACATGATAATAACCGAAAAGTGACATTAACAGACGTGATATTAGGTGAAATGTACTGTAATCTATTCAGGATCCTGTGATTTGTCGACTGTAAGTGCACCGCATCCTGCCACTGACCATGCCACATTCAAAGAAATGGACAGTTTTCAAAATCTTCCATGTTTTTTCAAAACTTCACGCAAACCCATGCAATTTCATAGTGATGTTATCTTGCAGTATTTTACATGAACCGAGATCACGATTTACAAATAAAATTTAAATTTAAAATCAAATGCTTTTACATCATGTACTACACTCTTAGACAAGCTGATTTTGTGAAAATTATTTAGTATCTACAAAAGATACATAAAAACCCTGTGGATCCCACTCTTTGTAGAATTGGGATTTTTTCTGTGTCTTCTGTGCTAAGAGGACATTGAAGATACCATTATTGATCTGCTCCCCTCATTGTGCAACACTTTGCATCTTTTTCTTTTACACTTCCAAACTCTTTCATTTCGTCGGTGCTCCCCTAAACATCTATCTTCATATGACCTAGCTTAGGTTGAAAGGACATTTAAACAGGAAGAACATTTTACTCCATTGCTTCAGAGAAACTAAACCAACTGAAAGTCAGCCTTTTACATTTTGTGAAAATCTTCAAAATTTGAGATAGGCCTCTTTGCTTTTTCTTTCTTGAAAAAGAAACAAAAATTGCAAGTACCGTTATTACCTAGTGTAGCCATAATGGCACATATTTATAAGCTACAGGGAATTCTGATAGAGTGCAGTTTTACTTTTCTCCACACTGAAAAATGAAATATAATTGGGCCAGTACATGTGGTTGTCATTTCTAGAGTAAAGTAGCCCTCGGCTAATAATATATGGTAATTTAGGTGCCAGTGATTGGCACGCTGATCCTATTGTCGGAAGGAAAAAACGACCTGCCTCCACATTAATGATAGGTGAAATCGCACTTTTTACCTAGAAATCGATTGCACTTACCTGACAGTTAAATGGAATGACAACGGTTGAACTTTTGCAGTTCACATCTGGAATACGGGTCAAAGGTCAAGGGTCACATTGTGAAATTTGGCTGGTCATTCGTCATGTGTTAAGATGTGTCATGAAATCTGTAATATAAAAGGATATCAGACATATTAAAACACTGCTGAGGTCAAAAACGGGCCATCAAATTAACATGTTTTCTTTAACTATCAGTGGGTTTTTTCCATGAGATGACTGACCTTTCTTTGCATTTCAATGCTCCATAAACAAAAAATACATCCACATGTCCTTCACATATACGTAATACTGAAATAAAATCTTAAGTCATCATGTCAAAATGTATCTGAAGTGAGAGATACACAAAAAGATACATGTATATTTAAAACACAAAATAAAAAATTCTTCCCATCAAAAATAAATAAAGACAGCACTGGAAATCCAACAATGCCACACGACTTTAACAAAGTTTACGCTAACTTAATTTCACAAAATCATTCATATATAACTAATTGGTAAAGCATTAACTACCATGCTTTGTTAATCACTTCAGTATGTTAAAATAAAATTTTAAAAACAAGAGATTTTTTTTTTGTCAAAAGTGAATAAAAAAACCAACCACATATATATATACTGTACATACTATCTATGTGATAATTTCAAATCTATGAAGTTGCAGATCAAATAATCCATTTTCTAGATGAAAGCAGCTATCGTTATCTGTTGTTTCCGTTTCCAAAGAGACTGCGCCAGCAATGTCAACTTAAATGTGAATAATTTGTTTAATTAAACAATATTATTTTTAAAAAGTCAATTTGATTAATTAAACAATCAATCATAAGATTGCGATCGCAACAATGATTCAGCTGCGGCTAGCACGGCCCTCGTATACTGTAGCCGCCTTTCATCAGCATCTAATTACTCTAGTCTTGTATTGTACAATCTAAAAAAAAAAGTTTCCGACTTAATCATTTTTCTTTCAAAAAGTATAAATAACTGGGCTTTTGAGCTTTGAATATAGTCGAGCAATCAACCAGAAGCCAGCACACTTCAGTAGACAACTCTTATACAAATTACACTTTTGAACTTGAGCAGTCCGTTTCTATGGTAACTGCAGATCAGAAAATTACAGTTGTGCATGTGTAAGTCTCTATAGAGGGAAGAGTAACATCACCAGATTTGCCATTTTATAACATATCTGCTGACTTACACACTCTGCTCTGTGTTGTCTAGTGTTTGCTCTATGAAATATCTCAAAACACCCCTGTATCCGATTTCAAACGAACAATGAGGACCCACCATAGCTAGTCTGCTCCATATAAAAATACAGAGATAACGAAATTGGACATTCTCATTGCTTGATCATGCCCACACTAGCCAGACAAAGTGTTTCGGGAAATATTCTCATGGTGGTCATAATCTTTCAAGTCCCATTTATTTTCTTTCCTGAATTTTCTCAGGAAGTGTCCTTTTGATAGAAAAGAATGTACCGGTAGATTTATAAAGAACCTTTTCTGAAAACTTATTATTAAAAAACAGTTTAACAATAATATACAGAAAAATGAATATAATATATATATATATATATATGTCTGATACTGCGTAATTTGTATAATATATATATACATTTTTAACAATATGATTCATAATTGTACACAATGCAGTTTGAAACATCCATAAATTTCCATAATATATCATGATATCATGTTCAGTAAAGACTTAATACAGCGAATGATTTGAAAGGTTTCTCTTACATCGTATCCAGGACAAACGAGGAGGACGACTGGCTTATTTTTAACAAACTGGAGAACGGTTTGGACTATTGTATGCAAATGTTTAAAATACTTCATTTCTTTCACATATCTGTACGTAGCCTCCGACGGAGAGAAGTTTATACTTACACATGTACACACGCTACATGAATGACTCATATAATCTTTTATTTTCATATCTTTAAATTGTTGTGGAGCTGTAGATTGAGCTAGAAGAATTACACAGGTAAATTTGAGAAATGTTAAACTTTGTCGCAGGTCATTAGGTATACATACATACAGGCAACACAGGTTAGACTCGACAATGAACAACCTCTGTCAATATAAAATCCACACAAACAACTCGCTCGTTTATATAAAATGTTGTCTCTCTGGCTCACGATATCTTCCCCCGTTAGATACCCTGAAACTACAGTCAAATAAAATCTATTACTGCAGAAAATCTAACATTGATTGTACATCAGAAGATTAAGCCTATCTCATTATGAATTAGCACTTCAAAACGTCCAAGTCATTTTCTTACTAACCTGAACTTAATTTTTCTTAACTCTTCCCTATCCGATTAAAACAGTATGATTATAAGGCAAAATATCTCATTCTGAAATCATGTAAAAGTCAAAAACTTTAAACAAATATTTTGTTTTGTTTCTTAATTCAATGTAACTTGAATAACTTCCTGATCACGTAAATTGCTCCATCACACAATCACGTATTATGATTATCTTTATGGAAATACATAATTCACAAATCAGTTTCTCTTTGGGCATTTACATATTCCAAACTATTATCAGACACATCCTTGTGTGAAGAAACGGAACGCCTTTCCTCTGTACTATTTTCTTTCTTTCACTAATTACTGGTTAAAAGGGGGGAATAGCTTTGACTTTTAGATTTGAAAGGACATGTCTATTCGACAGTGTTTTGGCTCCAAATGTAAGGTGAACAGTTTTCCGACTTCTGAAATTGCTAAATGCCAAGAGTGAGCCGAAGGCTCTGCTGGTAAAAGATTATTTTCAAAACTAATTGAAAAGTGATACACAATTTTTTACTGTAATGTATTTATCACGTAAGACTTTTTCACTTTTAACTCCGATATTGTTTAATTCGGTATGCTGCTGTGTATTATTATTAGTTTATATATATATTGTGATCCGACATATCCAGGTTAAAGATAAAATCTGGATATTTTATTTAGCACAACACTGTACCTGAAACATTGAAATGACACAACTTACTTGTATCAAACTAAAATTGTCACAAATCAATGTCTAAGTCTGTGTAACTCTTTCTAGAATATAACTTTACAAAGTAATAGGTGTACATGCTGAAGAGGATTTGTTTCAGAAACATAAATTTAAATATGTATGTAGCAAGTTAAAAAAAAATGAAAAAAATCTGTCAGTTTTTCAATTACTTGTATCTTTTTTTTAAGATGTGTAGAAGTGTGAGTATTTTTATGTACATTTATTTCTGAATGTGAACATTTTGAACCCGACAACAGGATATTTAGTTTTCAGTATATTGCAAAATTTTACAAAGATTATAATTTGACCGGAAACAGTGTTATTAAGCTAATGATAATAAGCTAGCTATGATCTTCAATAGCCATCGAGTATTACACATCTATGACATCACCGCAGGAGAGACACATCTCATGATAACACTGAAATAAAAACACCACTGAATAATGATGTCACTCCCCCTTGAGGCCTTCTACACTTAGGAGATAAAATTATCATGTGATCTGATCGAGGTCGTTTTTAAACCCTGGATGGCTGTAGTACAAAGGACAAAAACTTCTCCATTCAACAATCTAGACTACGTTAAGACTCTAAAACACCATGAGTAATATCTGAATGGTCAGTTCGGATGGACACTGAGACTATTATAAGGCAAAATTTCACGACTGGGTTTCAACAAAACTTTTAAGAGTAAATTGACGTTATTTCTGTGGTTGAATAATATAGCCAACCAGATTTCCTAGCAAGGAACAGCTGTGTTGTATTGAAACTTTTAACACCATACATTTCCGATGTTGTGTTTACGTAACTCCAAATTTTTCTCAGTTTCTCTTTCATTCAATCAATCCTGTTTATTATGTAACTTAAACACAGTAAGGTAAATTTTTACCTGAACAGATCGAGTTGATAAACTGATTCGTCAGATGAAACAAGACACAGTTAAAACAGATTCCAATCTCCTTGTTTCCTTAAAAACTGCAGGATACACAGCCAAGATAAAACCTAAGACTTTTTATTCAATATCTGTTGAATTTTATTTCAAAATAGAAATTTGTATCAAAATAGATTTTTTTTTTAAACTTTTTGAATCTTAAGAGGCTACCTGGAGTGATTTTGATCACGATTATCAAAATTAAAAACAACAATATTGAAACTGAACACATGGTATCCAAAGAACGAGATTTTGAATTCACAAATTTTCTGTATCACAAAACTTGGAAAACTTTTGAAGAGATTCTGCTCACAATTCTTAAAATTCAATAAAAACAATTGTAGAAACTGCACACCCAGTTTGAATGGAACGAGATTTTTATAAGTTGTGACAATGAATGAACAGTATAGGACAACAGCTACACAGGTGAAACACCTTACAACAGATCTGTACCTATCCCGCAGGTAAACAGAGACCAGATCGAGTTACAGGTGAGCCTACCTGGTTCTAACGAGGACAAAGAAAACATTTTATTGAGGAAAAATTATACCCAGACAGGCCATGTCGCTGTTTCTGTCAATATATTTAACCATGCGGGGTTACACACAAGATGGTGGCCAACAGTATCGACCAAACGGTACTTTATAATAACGATGGTTTTTATGCAACTATCAATGATTTTTCCCCTGCGCCTCTTCAAATGATACTTTACTTTATAAATTTATAAATAATATCCCTTACAATCCACAAAATCGTGTTTTCGCAAGAAGCGCGGAATTTCATAAAATATTTATTTCGTTTTCGACATTGTAAAATAATCCATAGTCGTGATACGGCAATAATAAAATGTTTGTTGCCGTCGGCGAAAGTGTTATCTTAGCTAACATCATCTCTTTCTTTATTTAACAATGGTCCAGCGTCGCCACACATTGATCCCTCCTACGGATCTGTTACTGTAACGAGATTAAATGTCCCCACCAAATAAGGAAACGTTTGTCTATTAAATATGACGCCACGATTATTTCAACAAATAATTTCTGGATCTGGTTTAAACAGCGGGAGTGGTTGTATTGTTTAGTGGTAGGTTTTGTGTTCCGCCTCATGCACGCTTACAACATACATGTTCTGTTCTGTCTTAGATCTAACCATCAATTGGGAATTTTGCAAAGTGATAAATTCTACTC